GAAACATCACTAGTAGGCAACAAACCAGAACTAGAAAAACATTGCAAGAGTAAACACAAGAGCAAAGTTGGCAATAACCAAAACTTCCTCTCAATTTATTCCCTTAAATGAAATATCCCTCTCACTGAATCCTGCAACAAATAAAAAGCACAACTTAATGTCATGACAAATACTTCACATTAACAAAAGCCGATTTTAAACACGGACAAACATTAACTTACTTGCTACAGTCGACTGTAGGAGAGATTGGGACTCCAATTGAAACTCCACATTTAGCCGGGAGCTGGGAGGCAGCATCCGGCTTAAGGTCAGTGTATCGAGAGGCGGCCGTCTTTAAACAGCCACACGCGGCCTGCCTGTCTTCTGTAGTATGAAGAGACTGACTTAGAGTCTGAACGCCGCTGCAGCATGTTGCAGATGGAGTTCCTCCTTGACTCAGATATGTCAAACATTGAGAAATTTGAGATTCAACTTGGCCACAAGAAATGGCTGCTCCTGGTTCAGCCATGAACAATTGAACCATGGCTACAACCACCAACAAAATCACTGCAAATCCCTTCATTTTTTTTCTTAACTTTAACTTCTCTACTTAATTAAGTGCTTTTTTTTTTAAGGATTATGGGTTCAAGGGGGGGTATTTATAGCTTGGGTGGGGGGGTGGGGGGTGGGGGGGAATGATTGTGAACAGAAATGACATCACAAGTGGTTGATTCAAAATGTCATTTAGTCACCCTAATTGAGAAAGAGTAATGGAGAGGGAATCATCTGTTACACTCAGTTTTGTTCTTATAAGGCCTTAGTAAATGATACTACTTACTTTCAGCTAGCAGATGGAAAAAAATTATGACAAATGAACTCTAACCCGACACGGCAGTTACTCGTGCAACCCTAGCCTTGTTTGATTTAGCTAACATTTTGATTTTTAATAAATTTTGATAAAAGTTGATAAAATGTGGTTGAAAAGTTGATAAAAATTGTGGATCTCATTAAATGTGTGATCGAAAATGAATTTAAAGAAAAATAAATTTTAGAAAATGAGGACCAAACAAGAAGTTAGGGTCCGTTTGATAGCCTAGAAAATGGGTGAAAATGGAAAATATTTTAACTTTAGCCAATTAAGGGTGTTTGATCGCACAAATTATTCTGGCAAAATGTTTCCACCTTTTTCTAGGTACAATCCTTTAGGGTGCGTTTG